ATATATATATATATATATATATGTACCGTTATTCGATGCATTGAAGCACGATCCCACTTGAGATGCTACATTGTATCGATATCAAACCGCCAAACTACGTTTATTGACCGTCACCACGCTTTATTAAGGCTGCGAGCATCGGACCGTGACGACTGATCGATGATGCGGTCAGTGATGTAATTGAAAATACGATCGCTAGGCCTTCGATCTACGCGCGTAAGGGTAGCGCAAAAAGGAAGATGGAAGCTTATAATGACGATTTACGCATCGTGTAATTCGAAAGCCTTACAGCAAACAGTCTCGATCAATACTTTCTTGCGTTTGTCGGATTCCATTCCAAGTTAATATTGACCGTGCACCGATATATTTCGACGTTATTCTACGCAATCTACGTCTAACGTAATAATTCAACGAAAGTAACATTTAATTAATCAGGTATTTGCAATGGACTCTCTTTCAACTTTTAAATAATATAAGATGGAAGATTAACGCCTCGATAGATATATTTGTTATATCAAGGTGATAATATAATCGCAGAAAATAAAAGCTGAAAGTAACCATCTGCCTCGTTGCCTAAAGCCCAAAGAAAAAGAATGCAGCAGAGCCAGGCGTAATAAAGATAAAAAGGAGGAGAGAGAAAAAAATGATGAAATGAACAAGAATAAGCGAGACGGAAGCGGGGGTGAGGAGAGAGAACGAGCGGAGTCCGGCCAAAGAGGCGGAAAGTCAATATTGCGCGCGATGGGATACGTCGGAATTATTACTGTATTAAAATTTATCGGATATTGGAGGTGCGTCTGGTCTGGGTAAACTTACTTCATCGTGTACGCATACATCGTTTATGGGTTTTCCAATATCCTACGCATCGCAGCAAAATGCCGAGATTCCGAACGAATAGTTGGTAAATGTGTGCTAGGTTTTTTTCTTTTTCTTTTTGCAGTTATTTACTCAGAGATTCAAACTCTATCAATGCGCGAATGCCACAATGCGTTCGACTGTCAATTTTTTTTCAATGAAATTCCAGACAGAATTAATTTAAAAGACCGACCCGAGAGTGCCTCGAACTGTTCCTGAGTTTACATACATTTAGTTTTCACGAAAAAGGAAAAACTCGAAAAGATTTTTATTGTAAATTGTATATTTTAAAAGATTTCCAAATTGTGATTTGTATAAATCTATAACGAGCAAATATTATATATATATATATATATATACACATATAAAAATGTAATAAATACATGAAATCTAGGTGTAGCAGGAAGTGTTCGTGACGTTTACATTGACTACGCTTGGAACGTGCTTTAGAGAGGTACACAATATGGGGAACGTCACTCAAAGTGTCAATAATGAATATAATTGAGAATATTATTGGTAATGTAAAATATATAAAATTATACAGTTGGAAAGATCATGTTTTTAGGAAACTCATTTTATTCTGATCCAGCAAACAATCTGACGATACGTAACGTCAGTTATAATTAAATTAATTAGCGCGTTTCCGCTTTATAAATTACTTTCTTATATAAATATTATACGTAACAAGAAAATAATTTACACATAACTTTTATTCAGAATTCTTCACCCGATATATTGCACGAAATGTAATGTCAATATTTAAGTAAATTAAAATAATACTTTAAGGAAAAATATAAAAAGAGAAATTTTACTTTGGATTAAAAGAGATAATCTGAAGGTAAACGTTTTAAATTGAATTAAAAGGAAATCTTACCTAAATTCTTTGCACATATTTCTCAGCGATTTACAAAGGAAGCTCACAACGATATTGAATATACTGTATTGTTATTGCGCAAAAGTGAATTTCAATTAATATATTTGCAAAATTTGCACTGAAACACTAAATCGTCACAAATCCGGTGTAAACGAAACAAACGCGCGACAACGACTGGATTCCAATCCACTGGACTCTCGCTGACACCAGACAGAACGAGTACGTGAGTGGAGTCGCACGAAGTACGTCGGTAAGTACCGAAGGTGGCCGAAGTTTCATTTGAAAAACTGATTGTCGCAATGCTGTGAGTTCCTTCACTTGTAAACTTTATTATGTTTAAATAAATACTATGTAATTTTAAATAGATTTCGCCGTTTTTTAATTACACTGTATAGATAAATTTATATATATTTTTAAATTTTGACCTAAAACAATTTATTCATTTCAAGCAATTTTGAATATATGTAAAAAATATGTGTATATTTATACAAGAATTTCAAATCTCTCAAGTCTTTTGGAAAAAAAAAAAAAAATTAAAACAATATACATTAATCTGTGAGACCCAGTAAAAAAATCAGTTGTAGTTTAAAGATTATACATCTGAAGGGGACATATAATATAGCGTTTGAAGGAATCAGAAATTATACAGTGTCAAAGATTTTACATGACTGAAGTATTATTTATGATTTACATGAAAATTTTTTAAAAATATATAAATCTTTTTCATAAATAATCTCAAAAATAAATTCTTTTAAAATATCAAACAATACTTGAGAACTATCTTGTATATGATTCACTCTATATATCTTTTTTTAATAAAATGGATTATTAAATACGATCATGATTGATAAACAAAACAAAAATTCTCGGGACACATATCTCAACAAAATATTCATCAATTTATTGAAATTTCCAAGTGACTTCTAATTTACTAAATAATATATTCCAATAATTTATTAATAAAATGTTCAAGCAACACAAAATCAAATCGCGTAAAAAAATGTCTAGAAATACAGTGAAACATTACAGTGAAACAGCAATAGAATCTAATAACCTCTCCTTATCAACATCAAATGTCAATAGCACTGCGTGAGTAATATAAACGAATAATGATGAAATAATGAAACGTGTTGAACAAAACTATCATTTATAACAATAACATATAATGTTTTATTACACAATTTAAAATATATTTTATTTACATTATAAATATATAAAATTTTATTTAATTTTATAATTTACTTTTTCATTTTTCTTTCAGATGCTCTATCAGAAAGTCAAAATGTATATCCCCAACCATTTCATCAGTATCAAACATAAATTATAAATCATCTATGATGGTCGAACAGCCACAATTTATCACAAAAGCGCCTAAAAATGCAGCAATACATTTTGGAAATTTTTATGGTCTTTGGAATGATGTAGAAAAAGTATATTCCAATAATCAATGGAATAATCATTTTACAAAAGAAAAAACAGCGATGATTAAGAGACCGCATCGATTAGAGTTTACTAGGCAAATGGTGCATAGGTAAAAAAAAAAATCTATCTGCTATAAAAGTAATAATACAAAATATTTGTTAAGTATTCTGAGAAAAAACTTTTTTTTAACTGAAAATTTTTCTTTGCTAGATTGGAAAAAGCAACTGACATGGAAGATTACATGCGACAAGTATCGGTTCTTTTAAAGAAGACAGTAGAGCCACCCAACTTTAAATTAAATCAACTTCTACCTAAAAATTCAATTCCTAACGGAACTCAAAGTTCTTCGGATTATCCACTCTGGTACAAGGAGCCTTATAAGCTATCATTAGTATTCTCAAATCCTGTCGCTCAACTAAAAGCATAAATATTTGAAGAATCTGTTTCAGTCAATGTAATTAAAAAATATCTGCGCAAATAAAACCATATTATTTTTTATGGAATCGTTTAAAATTTCTACATAGGCTTATTGAAGATTCCGTATTTCTTTCCTTTAAAAAATATAAAAAATCCATTAAAAAATATAAAGTATATTTTTTTCTGTTTTTTACTTTTTCAGAATTTGGTTTTGACTTTCAAAATCAAGATCAATCAAGATTAATTAAAAAAAACTTCTTTCGAAATCATTATTTGTTACATTTGATATAATCGTAAATAATCTATCCTTCTTTCTATATAAAAAAACATAATAATTAATGTTATAACGATTCAGTTATTGAGTATTATCCAAATTGCAAAGTCGCGAGACAGAATTCATTTCGGTATTCATTCTGGCGTGCTAATTAAGAGCCGTGGTCATTAGTTTGTATGATGTTGTGTCGTAATTAAGCGTTGCCGGACTAATATGAATCCTGCTGTTGGAATAATTAATTAGGTCTAGAATCATAAAGGTATACACGTGAAAAAACATAATTAATCTAAGTTTTAAATTTAAATGATGAATAACCGGAAATTCTCAATATTGCAAATTGTATTTAATTTTTCGATTATCCTTATACAAAATTTCTAACATGTAATAATGAGATATAGTACATAACATAAAGAAACAAAGAAAATCCGCGTAAACTGAAATTAAAATTTCTAGTATGAACAGATAAAAAGTTTAAATTAATATAATAAAAAAATAATCGTGTGAAGCTTGTTTCTGGAAAAAAAAAAACAAAGGCTGATGTGTTATCAAAAGACCGGCATTGTTTTCACTTCAATGAAAATCCAAGGGGAGATGCACGGTAGGGTGGTACTTATCGATTATTCGGTCTACCAGCGTAAAGACGAATTCCATGTATCTTTAACGAAAGCATCCAATTACCGAATAGGGATGTCATAATCGCATTGGATAGATATGCTTGTTTTGTAAAAAGCGAATCCTATATCGATGGCTCGAGGAATATGTTCAACTGTGACTTTAACTGTAAATCGTACAAAGTAGCAATTCAAAGCAAAAAACGAGTTTTTAATATTTATTTGACATTTAATTCTGTCATCGTTAATTTTCTTCGTTATCAGTAAGTGATATCCACTCGCCAAAGGAATAAGCATATAAATGCGTGATAGTTCGATAAATATTTGAAAGATTTTCATATATTATATTGCCTTAAACTAATCGTGCGTAAAATCTCGTCGTAAAATATGTAGTCAGTGATACATGAATGTTGTCAGCAGTTTCCTGCAAGAAACCGAATATCTTAAAGTATTAAACATTATAAGAAGAACGGCCGTATATGAATAAATCGAATAAAGTTAAGAACGCCGAACGGTCGAAAGTTAGATGTTACGAATATATTTAATCAATTTTTTGTTCCAAACGTGATTGCGCGCCGAAAATTGTCAGACTTTCAACACAATCATTATGAAGCGTTTAATAACCCATCTAAAGATAAAATAAAACATCTAAAAAACGGAAAGAAACTTATTGCGAAAAATATTACCTCAGCCAGGGTTTGAACCTTGGACCTCTCAACTTGCCGGGAAGAGTGTCTTAGCCAACTCGACTCAGTCTTTGCCTCAGTGTGCTGAGGTAATATTATATTCGTAACATCTAACTTTTTGACCGTTCGGCGTTCTTTAAAGTATTAAAGTTATATTTTAAAAACATATTATATTTATTTAATACATTTACTTAATATGATGCTTAATCATTATTATTGATTATAGCTTGTCATAAATATTAATTTTGAACAATTATCTTAGCATTTTCAGAAGATTTTTACCTGAAACTCTGATCAAAAATTACGTGGTAAGTATATGTTTCAATCACAAGCTATAATCAAACAATAAATCATTGGACTAAATAAACGCATTTTAATAAATGTAATGTATCTTTAAAATATAACTTGTTAATTTCTAATATATATTCAATTTCTTTTAGAGAACTTCTGATGACGCTCTTATGTCACTGATCGTAATTTAAATACAAATACAAATTATGCATATATGTGTGCATGTGCAATATACAGTGATTAAAAAAAAACATTTACAAAATCTAGAAACATAGGACTAAGACTAGACAAAAATATGCGTATGTATTCGTATTTACATATTTATTCTTTTCCTGCAAACTATACACAGCATGGTCCACGTGATTAAAAATCATTTAAATAAACTAATGATTATTAAAACCATTAAATGATGGAACATGTATAAATATATGTGAATGTAACATATATATCTTTTATAAAACTTTTTTGTAGATATTATTTTGTATAGTGTGAAATGGTAATTGCAATTCGGGATGTATAATGTCGTTAAAATCACACAGTTTAATAAGGTTTTAGTTGCCTTATTAATTCTTATATTAATGGAACCATTACTGGCAACCAGCTTTAAAGATGTAAAAATTGCATCATTGTCGATGATTTTATAAATATTACCTTAATATTGAATCAAATTGAATACAGTACAATACAACAATATGTATTGTTCATATTTGATATATTCTACTGTATTCCATATAATATGAATGACAATTCATTCCTTTCTTCAAAACATGACGCAATTAGCTCCCGTCTGATAGATATTTTTGAGGCCTTCCCTAGGTCTTCTTCCATGAGTAATACATTTCCAAAGGTCGATTGACACGCCAGAATTTGTCGTTCACTTGTCGTAACGTTTGTGAGCCACTTAATACTACAAGCTGCCCAGGTGAAGGTGCGATATAAATACAAAAATTTAACAGCCTATCTGATTCTGATAATTCAGTATCCAAATCCAACGTTAAACGCATTGCTAGATATTTACTTAAATGGTCCACTGTAAAAACAAACAATTTGTTACTCCATACTGAAGGTTCATTTTGCCATTTTATAATTTAATGTATATTTATATTTATAATATTCATTAGCTTTTTCAAGTAAACAATTTTTTCTTTCTTAATTGCAGGTTTGCAAGATATCTTACCTGTGGCATTTGCTGTTGTTTTTATATAGCGAATACTGTTCTCTTTCAATGCTTTTATTAAAGAATTATCACCTGCCATTTCTGTAGGATGTGGTTTAAAAACAAGTTCAATTTCGTTAAGCATCAATGGTTCGCTAGGACCTTCACCTTCTGTGTCAACCATAGAATCACCACCGCCAGTCTCGGCTTCTGCACTAGAAGAATCATTCTCAGAATTTTGTAGACTTTTCTGTCGTTTTGATGGTTTTGAGATTTGATTTGCAGGATTTGGTGATGGTGTGGTAGAGTTTCTAGATGTTGTTCCTAGATAAATGCACATAAAAATAATTGTTACAATAAAAATTACAAGTTTGTACAAGCTGTTGTAAACTCAGTAGAAATTGCAGTTATTTATAGATTGAAAAACAATATTGGTATTCATAAAATTAATCATACCTCCACTATTTAAAGGTCCTGTTGCACTTTGAGAGGAATCACTTTGATTTGCTATATTTGTAGATGGATTTGGTGTTGTAGGTGCACTAATATTTGGTGTATTGTTATAAGACGTTGCATTGCTTGCATTTTCAGATTCGTTGGCATTCTTTCTGGAACGCTGTGGACGATTCTGACTTTGTAATTTAATACCTTCTGTAATAGAGTTAACAAGTGCAGCTTGTGAATGTGACTTATTCAGTTTAGCCAAAACTCGTTCCTGATGAGCCTCATATTCGTCTCTGCTAGGATAGATTTTTGAGATTAGCAAATCGAAGTTTGGATCTGGTCTGAGAGATCTTTTAGAAACCAATTTCTTCCTGCATGTAGGACATTCCTGTAACAATGCAAAAGTATAAAATAATTCATTATACATAACATAAATAATTCCTTGTATTTCAATATAAAATACTACTACTTGTAGAAAAACAGTATTTATTTTTATTGAAGATACATAAAATTCTTGCAGCAAGTATATATAATTTTGTTGCACGGATTCAGACTAATTAATATTTCATTTATCATACAACAGTTTTCAAATATGTTGATGGTGTATGTGATTACAGGATAATAGCTGGATACACATGTTATTGGGTTTCTAAAAATCTCTATTTTGTAGTCAATCAATGCGAATAGAAAGTTCATGTTACGATAAATAAAATTCAGTTGCATCAAAAGTATTGCTTTCAAAATAAACAAAAAGTGAATGGCAGATTGCATACACATACTATATTATACATACATACACAAATTTACAGGTAAATAACATTACATCTTGTAAAAAAAATATGGGGTAGTATTATCCGCAAACATTGTAGATATAAGTTTGTTGTATTATGTCAAGCACATACTTTGTTACCGCTTCGTAAAGCTGTGATAATACAGTCGGAACAAAAACGGTGGAGGCACTCCTTGGTAGTCATAGTCTTCTTCAACATATCCAAGCAAATGGGGCACATGAGCTCGCTGTGCAAACTCCGCGGACTGACCGCAATCTCTGTGTTGTCGGTGATCGCGTCTTGCGGAGTGCGATGTAATTCGTAAAGCGATAATTCCCATGTTTTGTTGAGGCCGACCTGTTCCGCAGATGCCATCTTGAATAGTTGGATTACATACACATTGACATATACATTACAGAGTATGGACAATTGGACATGCTCTTGGAAAAAATAAAATCCTACTTCTGCGCCATCTGGGCAGATAGACACAATTTTGAGAACTAAATTGTAGGATTCTCCTACTCGGTCGATAAAATGGTCAAATGAGCCATTCACAGGCCAAAGTGATGAACTCCACTTCGAATTTTTTAAAATTTTATTGTCAAAGCATCAATGAAGTGTTTTGGTAACAAAATTTTTAAAAAATTCGAAATAGAATTCATCACTTTGACCTGTAAATAGCTGAAATGTGGAATATTTTTTGTTCAATAATTTTACACACTTTCGAGTAAATAAGTAAAAATTACAAATGTAATATTTGAATCGTTTTATATTACACATAAATTATTCATTAAACAATAAAAAATAATTTCCAAACATTTATTTTATATATCCTAATACAGTCTTGACCAAAAATATTAAACATCTTATTAAGTATTATATACAGTTAACTGAAAAACTGATTTACGGCATTTTTCTGTAAATTATCCGATTTCTTAAATAAATGTCTAATATCTTTGGCCAAGGCTGTACTTATGTTCTAAAGCATAAATACAAAAGAATGTCTGCATCCCCCCTTCTCTCGCCAACATTTACTAATAATAATATAAATAATTTATTTATTCATAAACAAAATAGAAATATAACTCTAGTTATATTATTACTGAATTATATTATTACACTATTACTACTAGTTCTGTGGAGATGAGGCAAAAAAATGTGTGTGAAAGAGAGAGAGAGAGAGAGAGAGAGACTTAAAACTACTAAGTTATAAAATGCTTATATGTGCTAATCAGCGATCCAATATTCAAGATTTTTTCCGATTTTCCAGGATTCAAAGTTCGCTCTGTTATATTTCCCACATAGCAAAGAACTGGTTCAGGACGTATTCGTAGGATTTTTTATAGTCTCAGGAACATTCCAGAATGTTCTACATATATATTTTTTTAATTAATCAAAAAGAATTAGTATTTTTTAATATTTATAATGTATAATATTCATAATTGTTTCGAATTATTTTAACTTTTATGTCTTAAAAGATTAAGAAGATTCAAATACCTAAATTTTGTAAATATATTGAAACATATTTATCTTTATAATATACTTTTTAATGCCGATTTTATCTTTGTACAAAATGTAGAAGAATGTACCTTTAGTTTTTTAGTCACATTCTTCATTTGCATATGTAAGAAAATTTTTTGTGTATTTCTCAATGCTGAATAATTTTTCCGAACAGTTAAACTAGTAATTTTTTAGCGTCCTTTAATCGTTGTTTATAATTAATATTCTTGCGTAAAATATTTTTTGTTTTTTAAATAATCTGCTTTTAATATATATTTTTCTTGCTACTGGAGTCAAGTTAGCCTTTCGAGTAACAAGTATATTTCTATGAACATGGTTTGTAGAATGAAAACTTCTGTTTGGAGTCCTTACAATCTCTGGCTGTGTTTCTTGTTGTGTCCCTTCTTCAATATTTACATTGTTACATGACTGTGTTTCTTGTTGTGTCCCTTCTTCAATATCTACATTGTTTTCCAAAATAGCTTTTTCTTCTTCAACTGTCCTTACAATCTCTGGCTGTATTTCTCGTTGTGTCCCTTCTTCAATATCTACATTATTTTCCAAAATAGTTTTTTCTTCTTCAACTATCCTTAAAATCTCTGGCTGTGTTTCTTGTTGTGTCTCTTCTTCAATATCTACATTGTTTTTCAAAATAGCTTTTTCTTTTTCAAGAAAATTCACTGTCCTTATATAAGATTTATAAACATCGAGAAAAGATTGTGTTGCAACTGTTTCAGTCACATCGTCCATTTCTTCGTCTTCTTCTTTTTCTTCTTTTTCTTCTTCTTCTTCTTCTTCTGGAACTGTACTTGCACTAGACTGAGAATCATCTGTTTCATTTCCAGTTGACAAATTCCGATTTGGAATAGCATCAATTTTCAACCGTCTACGTTGTAAATTAATAATATACGAACTTTCGTCAAAATGTAAATGGCAAATTCTACATTTTTTAATTTTTTCGTCAGGTACATGCGACATAGATATTGCTTTTATCCATTTTTTCCTTAATTCTGTATCTTTCGGAAAATAATGACCGGGAGCTCTAGCACGAGATTTACAATGTGGGATGACACATTTCCAAGTTCCACTTGTTATTTTGACCATTTTATTTTAAAATTTCAATGCTGAAAAAAAATTTTGTTATACAAATGTTTAACATTCAAGAAATGCATTCTGTTTCATACATAATGCATTATATTAAAGCGACCCAACACGGTCGATAATACTGTACAAGTATTAACAAATACTGACGATATTACTGACCGTGTGTGATTGATATTGATGGATTGATATAAAATCTAAGTGATTTATCAGGGTAGTGATTTTCATGTTACAGTATGTCACAGTGTAATAGATAATTTAAAACTAAAGTGAAATATATTGTTAATAGTACTGATTATGTGTAAGATAGTAAAAATACTAAAAATATTGCTGTAATACTGATAAATATCAGTATTACTGATTCAGTAATCAGTATTATTAACCATATAGAGTCACCTTTATGTATCATTTTATCCTTGTTGTTCACACCAAATATAAAGAAGATATATTAAAGAAAACTAAAACAATACATCATGCGCATTATGCGTGAAACGGATAATACAATCAATATGTACGTACATACATATACTTAAAGTAAGAGCTGACCAAAATCGGTGTTTTTTGGCTTGAAATTGAAATGTATCGGTATTCAATGCTCATTGTTGTTCCTTTTCCTCACTTCATTGTTGCTGTTTTTTTTTATCGTAACGCGCGATGATCTCATGGACGACCCTAGTTGACTCCGAAATCGTTAAAAAGTTTGTTAACCTGTGTCTTTCACTATGTTTATAAATATTCTGTTACAAATATTATAAGATACTATGATAAAATTATTCAGTTTAGCTATCCCACCTCAAAAATCTATAAAATTAGACTTATTCGACGCGTTTTTGCATGAAACGAAAGAATCTGGGAAAAATAAGCCTCGCTCTGCCCTGTAAGCTGAGATATTAAGCGTTAAAGTTGATAGCTGAACTATTGAGGTTAGGAAATCTGTCACTGCCGCGAAGTACTGCGAACATGCATTGCGATCACCTTTTTCGTATTCTGTGACTTCATGCAAGATATTGAGCGTTTAAAGTTGATTAAAGGGCTTCACACAAGAAAGGCATAACATCAGGTCGCTAAACCAATGAGCATCTTATGTAAATCAATATGGCGACATTATGTTAGATGCCCATTGGTCCAGCAATCTTACGTTATGTTTACGCTCTGTTATCCATTTCACGTGTGAAGACCTTTAAAGTGTTACTACGTAGCACTTTAAAGGGCTTTAGTCAATTTAAACGCTCAATATCTCGTTTCGCAGAGCAGTCCCGGACACTTTTCTGCCAGATTCTTTCATTTTACGCAAAAGCGCGCCGAATGAGCCTAATTTCATCGAAGGTAGCTCGGAGGTAATTCCGAAGAATTACCCTCATTTTGTCTCTGTTTCCTCCTAATCCCAATAGTTATCAACTTTAGCGCTTAATATCTCGGCTCAGAGGGACGCTTTTCTTTGCCAAATTCTTTCGTTTCATACAAAAACGCGTCGAATAAGCCTAATTTTATTGATTTTTTTAGATGAGGTAGCTAAACTGAATATAATTACCGCCTAATTTTATTGATTTTTGGGGTGGGGTAGCTAAACTGAATAATTACCAAGTTTTCGACCTGTGTCTTTCACTATGTTCAAAAGTATTCTGTTACCAATGTTACAAGATAATGTTATTCATAATAGCATTGTTCGTTTTGTCTCTCGGGAGCTGCTCGGGGTCGCTTCGAATGAATCCAGCGTACCTGAAATGTAGGATTCGCAATATGTACGACATCCGTCCCGTGACGTCATCATACCGATGAAATGTCAGTACGAATCCTATATTTCATTCGGAGCGACCCCGAGCAGCTCCCGAGAGACAAAACGAACAATATTATTATATTCAACTATAAAAATAACAGAATATAACAGAGTATAATAACAGAATAACTTCTAAACATAGAGTGAAAGACGCAGGTCGAAAACGTTTTTAACGATTTCAAACTAGTGTCGTTCTGGAGAGTCGCACGCTACAACAAAACAGCAATGAAAGAATAAGGAACGGTAATAGATGTAAACATCAACACACTTCGATTTTAAGCAAAAAAAAAAAAAACACTGACCATGGACAGCTCTCTTGACTTATACCATATACTTTAAACAATAAAACAACGCTTCTCTTCATTTTTAATATTCACTACCGGAATAAACGTGGACACACCTGACTTTGCGTAAAATAAATGACGCAGTACTCGGACCGATTGGCCCGATCAAGCAATCCGTCTGATGTATGTATCCGTGGACAGCGGACGACAGACTTGTGCGAATGTATAGCGAATTAACAGCGTTTTGTTTGAGCGTTATTATTTGTAAGACTCAATGGAATCACCACTTTATTTACGCAACCACCAGAAACCACATTTGATCACGTTCCAATTACGTTCTGATAATTCTGACGCTTTACGCTGCTTCTGGAATCAGCTAGATTTTAGGATGTTCCAGAATAGTCCAAAATGCTCGGGAACTGAACAGCGATCATGTTGACATTACCGATCGAGCAGGAAAGTTGAAGTTTATAATTCCCAGAACTCTGTCTATTTTTGCTTAGATGGCGCAGAAATAGGGCTTGACTTAAAGCACAAAGGAAGTAGCACAATGGAAGAAATATTAGGAACAGGAGTAGATAGAGATTAAGATTTCAACCTATCAGAAACCGTGTATGCTGACGTAACTGATATCTGATAGGTTAAAATCTTAATATCTATTCCTGTTCCTAATATTTCCTCCATTGTGCGCAGAAGCTAACATGCTGTAAAATGCTTCTACCATAGCGTTTACTTACTCTCTAAGGAACTCCACACGATAAAAAGAACAGAGAATAGGAACAGAGAATAGGAATTTCAACCTACCAGAAATTGTGGAATACACAGTTTCTGATAGATTGACATTTTTAAGCGGGGAGCACAGATTCTTAAATAACGTATGAATCAACCAATCAGAGTCCTTTGTTTCACGAAAGAAATAAAGCACTTTGATTGGTTCATTTTCTTATACCTCATGTGTTATGCATTATGCAAGAATCTGTGGTCCCCGTTTTATTCTCTATTTTCTGTTCCCCTATTCGTTTTGTTGCGTGGAGCTCCTAACTACCCAGAATTCTAGAATTGGAAAAGATGAGAAATAAGTTGAGCCTCGGTTAAGAGTTAATCGTGAGTTAATCGTGAGTTAATTGTGAGTTGAAAGCGGACCTTACTGGATATTTTATATTAACTTTATATGCCTATTACTTAATATATATTCTATTCATTTCTTCTTGAATTCAAGTTGTTTAGTGTTTCTTACACATCTGTGTAATGTACGAATGTGTAAGAAACTAAACCAACTGTACAATTTATACAGATGACGATGCCGTGCATGCACATTGCGAACATTTGGGACTCTATAGCTTTCTCTCTCGCATAGATGTTGATTTCACGTTCAGTGCCCTATTCCTCTTGCAGTAGTCATATTATTATTCTAAGATATCAAAATACTTCGACTATATAACATGGATTGCTGGCAGCAACTTTAGGCCCTAAAAACTATTCCACCATGAACAAGAATAAGGAATTAGGAATAAAGAGAAATTATTTTACCCTTAAAATTGTTTCGAAACAATTTTATATTATTTGTTCTATCCAAATTCTCTCTCGTTATTTACAATACCAAGAAATGTCAACGTGTCATTTCTCAATTTATGACGTCACAATTCAATGTAGCCGTACGTGGGCGTTAAAACCGAACGTATTAGTTTTCCATACCGCTAAAATGTACGCTGATGTATGGGGCTTTGACTGATCAGTTTTGATGATACCACGAAAGAGGCTGGAATTACCGCTCTCAGAATTCTCTCTCTGATCGTATAATTATTTTATTTTATTTTTATTTTTTACCGCAAGAATCTTTTATAATGTCATTTTCCGCGTGTTATGCGACTGGAAAGTATACAAACAATTCCAGTAGTGTGTGAGCTAAGTTTAGTACTTACTAAAAAAAGTGATTGTTGGTGGTATAAGTAGCGGTTATGCGTGGGCAAAATACATAAGCACGGTATAAATAATGTAACGGTATATAATTCCATGTAAGACGGGCGTAGGCTTGGCTATTACTATAGATGCATCTTCTCTTCGAGAGCGACTGGATAGATCTATTCGCGAGCAGATCTAACACAGCAAACTAGATCGACAAGACCCTCGCGCGTCTTTTTCTATTGACCTTAACTGTAAGAGAATGTAATTGCGGCTGTCCATGCAAGGAGGGTTTCATCGCTTATTTCTGATGTCCCATTTCCATTTCTCGCATATATACATATTTCATTGTAAAGGCAATTTTCATCATGCAAAATTTTTAATATCAACTTTTTCTTTATGACAAAAATGAATTATTTACATACTCCAAATGATTATATTAAATATTATCGAAAATATTTTTGTCAGTTTGTCGTATTTCCTGTGATAATATAATTATAATCTGTGTTAATCGTATGTATGAAATACAAATTAAAGTTAAGAGAGAACGGTATAAGTATGTCTTTGATGATTTTGAATTCGATTTTAACGCTGAGGAAGATTGAATTTGTCATTTGTTAAGATTAAATCATCATCATTTTCCTAATATTGAATACTGCTAAAAAATGTTATAATTAGCCACAAGAATTTTATTAAATAAATATGAAACAATTAATATTCTTGTAGGTCGTACCGTCGCCGATTGCAGGGCGACATCTCGTCCCACTTAACGATGATGTTGCTCCGACAACTTTTTAAGTCCGTTTAATTAGTTGCCTACGGCAAAATGCGACATATCGGTCATTCTCATTTCACACATTTTGCTCTGGTGATCAATAATATCTATATATATTTTATACAAAATTCGTATCCTCGATAATTTTGTTTCTGCTCCCTTTATTGTAAAAGTATATATACGTATTTATCAAAAGATTTAGTTTTATCTTGTACATACGTGTTTCCTTTAACTCGAGTATTTAAAATATTTCTATTTTTCAGGAGGAGACTGAGAGCAGTTGTACCAAAATTCTTAAAAATGTATACATATAACATGTTATTTCTTTATTTATATGTTGATTTCTTTTAATGCATATAACATGCACGCAACAACTATTTAAATTTATGTATTATTTGCAAAAAGGTGTAATTTTATTAGGCTGTTTATGAGTAAAATATAAAAATTCGTATTAGTACATCTTGCTCCGATTTAGGGGGAAATGTTTTAACAAAGTTAGGTAAAGTTGTAACATGTTCTAAAAATATATTATATCTGTTCTAAGACAGAAATTCATTGCTTTAAAAACACAAATTCAGTGTTTTAAAAATAAATTAGCGTTTGATACAACCATCTACGGCGTCACGGTCCTTGCTAGATGTTACGATAGCAGCGAGTAAATGTAAATCAGAGATAGGTAATATATATAGCTTATACTTGTACGTTGCGTAATAATTTACATCGCAAGATGTAACTTTCGCTTAAAATCTGTAATTATAGTGTAACACAACATTAAGTGACTTAGGCAAGATCAACTGACAACCTCTCATGCGTGTCTTCGACATTTCACTCGATAGAGGAGGATTAATGTGTTCAGATATGCGTGCAGTAATTTGAAAACTTGACAATAAATCGAGAGATTGTATCCTTATTATTTTTCCTTCTTTTTTTTTTGTTTTATATCTTTTTTGTATTATACGTTAATTTTTCAATACGATTGAATATATTACACATAAAATGTATCTCCTCTGTTTATGCATTTCATTAACCTGGTTCTCTGTGTATTAAAAAAGAAAGCATGAAAAACAGGAACTGGATTACAGTCGTGACAAGTTTTCCGGTAGACAGTTTTCCCGCTGGAAGAATATTACGTAATGGGCATGCGACCACAATCTCGTATGCTGTTCAGAGAGGTATCGTAATACAAAACCGCGTTCACATGGATATTATAGGCATTATATACGTTTTACATTCCTTTTTTGATCGTCCGTTTCTCTCACGGGATTACAGTTCTGTTTTACGTAAGATCATACGGCCCGCTTTGCTAGATAGCCATTTGCATAAATTAATCCTTTGTTATGCACAATATAATTTCGAGACAAAACGTTGCATCTACTGCAGTTTCTGCATCGATCTATACGGTTTCTGTATCGTGCATGCAAGAAGTAGTTCAAAAAGAGGCGTTAAAAAGAAAGAAATGGATAATAAAAGTCGATACGTAGTCGAATTTTAAAACAACAAATTACTTGACGGCACATACCACAACGCAAGATGTTAGCGGCTAATATTTTATATTTTAAAACATGTAACAATTAGATAGATGGACGTTACGACCTTAGATTAGGCCATCTTCGGTATTACAATTAAATAATCAGATTCACGAGTATATTATAGAGAGAAGAATACTCCAACATGATAGCTTCTTATAACTTATAATGCTCGACATCTAACTTTTCGTTTTATAGTTGCGATAATATACTCGTGAATCTGATTATTTAATTGTAATACTGAAGATTACCTAATCTAAGATCGGAACGTCTATCTATCTAATTGTTACTTGTTTTAAAATATAAAATATTAGCTGCTAACATCTTACGTTGTGGTATATGCCGTTAAGTAATTTGTTAGAGAAATACATGTTAGATAGATTATATATTTCACTAACAGGCCTTTATACTTATCTGCTTACTGTTTCCAGATCTTTGCAGACTGAATTTCATTAAGTAACGCAGTGTGCAATTATACAAAGTGTCTTTGTTGCTTTCTTCAATATATATATAAAGACAAAAATGACTAGTAACAGCCATTTGTTAATTACAAATTGAAGTGACTTTATATTCTTCTTCCTAAATAAAGATGAATCAACTATTTCTCGGAAAACAGAAGCAAAGCGATTCATAACGATTTACCTAACTGACTTCGTTTCACTACGGCTATCAATTCTGTCAGACGTCGATAATTATCATTTCTTTCGTCTTACTTCCCTGTTCCCGACATTGCACAAGCATCCGGAAGTAGCGGCGTTCTTGCCGCTTGATACATGGTTACATGTATCCGCTCAACCCAGGTCAAGCGTGAATCTAACCCACTGGTATTACTGTCGGATCTTATCCTAAGGAATCACTCTGAATTTTACTTTTCAAGGCTGACGGAAAACCATTACCCGAACCATTATCTGAATTGTGACACGAATGATTCAATTTGGTATCTTTTTTATGCATCGATTTTGTACTTTCGTCGAGACTGCTCGCAATATTGTATCACAAAATATATGTTTCATTAAATGTTAATTAATTGCTGCGTATAATCTGAGTCTCTCTCAAATCGAAAATAACGCGGCACGTCAGATTTAGTGAATCATTTTTCGCTCAAAGACTGCACATTGTTGCGGAAAATTTCATTAACCAGGTTGAACGTTAACCAAGTTCATAATCGATGTATACGGCGGTGGCAAT